GGAAGGACCAATCTAAGAGAAACATTTTTCAAATCAATATGACTCGACTGCCTTTATCAATCCAATAAGACACGACTACCTTTATCAATTCAATAATAACAAATATTACTATAATATTGCCAATCTTAACTAGTACTCTTTGAATAAGTTAAGAAAATATAAATACCTCACATATTTGGAGCAAAAAAACTGAAAATTAAGAGCGGGACAAGTAGTGAGTCTAGCAGCTAGCAATGAATAAGCCAACACTAAAGCCTCTCGTCCCATTAAATGCCAAAAAGTTCAATCCAAAGTGACTGGCTCGATCGGTCATGGCACGCCTCCCTCTCCCACCTCACTCTCTGTCCATCTAGCTCTCCGTCAGCCTCCATCTGAGTCCGCCTATCTCTCCATCTGCCTCGCTCTCTGTCCGCCTAGCTGACCGTCCGCCTCGTTCTCCTTCCGCCTAGTTCACCGTGCACATCACTTGTTGACCGTCACGTTAATCCGATGTTCTTCGCTGGAACGCCAAAGCAGCAGCTTCTTTTGCTCGTATGAAGAGTAAGGGTTTTTGGAAATTGGAAATCGAAGAAGAAAATTAAAGGCGACGGGTTTTCGACTTTTCGTTTCTAACGGTGAGGGTTCATCGCTATGGACTATGGTGAAGGAATAGAGGGTGGGTATGGTTTATTTAGGGTTACTATTGGTCTGGGTTTCTTGAGTGTATGAATAGAGTGGGTATGATTTATTTGGATAATTTTATTGGATGAACTAAGTCATACTAAATAAGAAGTAAAAATTCATGGAGGGAAGCAAATTTTACAGAGGAGGGAAGCATGTTTTATGGAGGGAAATGAAAAGTGAAAAATTTGTTTAGAGTAAAAATCTGTAAAAAAAATTATATAGTATCACTATTATGTATTGACGTTTTTATGTCATAAACGTATGACACTTAAGCATCGTTAATACTATATGTCGTCGACCACGGAGTTGAAACTCTTATTGAAACTCTTATTAAGTGGTATATCGGCGACATCATTGATTGCAATTTGCCTCATAACTTTTCGTGCCAGCCTCCTATTACACCGAAATAGTCTAGACTTCGTAGGACTTATAGGATGGTTATGATCTAAAGAAGCCGTTGAAATCAACCAACATCCGGCATAATTTATATGTGCTCTTATTTTGGCCAAGCAACCAACTTGCATTGAAGGTAGAGGCTTCAAAACATTTTGTGCATGACTTTGTCTTTTTTCAGCGCGTCCGCACTCTAATGCAATTGCAGATGTCGTTCTATCCGCATATTTCTTAGAATTCCTTATTCTAACAAGAATTCAATACAAATCTGTTCTTCCTCTTCATCTGTTATTTTAGAAAAATATACATGTTCACTTCGACATACAGTTATCATTTTGTCTCTACAAATAAACAATAATATATATATACATATGTCTTCACATATGCACTTCATTCACCACATTTATCTTCACATTACCAATACAACCATGTTTCCAAAAAAAGCACACACATTTATATAGAGACTCTAACAAATATAAAATCAGTTTCACTTCAAACAATTATGACACTGCATTTACTTTAGGCTGGACAGACACTGCATTTCCAAATTGTCTGTCTGCCAAACAAAATACAAAAATGATGGAAAACAAACATACTCTTCTCCAAGACTTAAACATCTTCATCATCTTCCTCCCTTGAAGTCGCTTCTACTTCAACAGCGACCGGAGATGGTGGATTACCACCGTCACCCACCTCATCAACCTTCTTACCTTCATCTCCCCATGTCAACCCATCCAAAAAAAACATATCACTAAAGTTGGATACATCCTTCCCCATGATATCCATCCAAGAAGCTGAAGCAAAAAAGCAAGTGAGTACGGGAAAGAAGCTAAATGTCAACCGTGCACTGTAGCACTTCAAAGGTTGGGATGGTTTTTGGCGGAAACAAGAAGGTGGATAGAGGATGTGGGAGATGTGAGAGAAAGATATTTTTGGAAAGGGGTAAAAGGGATCGTAAAAAAGACGGGTTTTATATGGGGTAGGAAATAAGGTAAGTATAGGGTACCTATAACAAAATTGAATTTTCAAACAAAATTGGCATCCCTTTCTTCTTTAAATAGGACCCACTCCTTTTTGTAAAGTTTTTTGGGTTAAGAGCTTATCAACTTTATTTTGATTGATTTGATCGTTCATTGACTTTTTGACCAGATCAATCAGCTATTAGGGGTGTTTGATTAATGACGTTTTACTTAAGCTAAAATGCCATTTAAGCTTTGGTTTTTCAGAATATGTCGTCATTAGGTTCCTATTTTACCCTGAAGAGAGACATCGAGGTACAATAGGGATTTCTCTTCGTACTCGCCTCTCTCCTCTTTTTAATGGACCTACTCAGCTAAACACCTTCCACCGACGCGAAAACAACACATGGCTTGGAATTCCTTCATCATTGTGAAAATCCTTGTTTAAGTGGATGATACTTTAGGAGATGAATAAATGATTGCAACTGTTTTACAATATGTGTTTAATATTGCGTATGTTATATTAGTTAAATTTATTACTTCATGAAAAAACAATGTTTAAAATAATTATTGTTTTTGTTAATACATTTGTATTTTTCAAAATAATAAAAAATGATTTAAGTAATTCTACTAATTAAATTAATAAAAAAGTAATTGATTTTTTAAAAAGGAATTGTCCCAAATAGGACTAAAACATGGTTAAAATTCCAAAGTAGGAGTTTAAGTATTAAATTCCCTAAATGGGACTGCAGATTACATTTATACCCCTTACCCCAAAGTCATCGATCGACTCTTCTCCTCCTAACTCCTGCGATTTATCCCTCCCCATGGACCGCCATCTCCATCGATTGCAACCCCTCCCCTGCGAATCTGCCATGAACAACAACTTCTTCGCCATGGGTTGCGGTTCTCTGATCATCGAAGCCAGTCGCACATGTGTTTTGAAATTTCTCCGGCAAAGTCGATCAGGTACTCTTACTCTTCTTTTTCATCTTCTTCCTCCTCCTCTTCTTCATCTTCTCTTCCTCCTTTTTCTTCACTTCTTTCTTCTTCTTGGTTCTCTAATTTTGTTTTGTCAATTAATTTGATTGCTTTCAAAATCCTAAATAAAATTTTGGATTTGAAAATTTCAGATGAAGAGTCAAATTTCTATGAACAACAAGTGAAAGAAATGAGTTTGAATTTTTATATATTTATCAATTTTGATTATTTCAAATATGAGAATATCATAACTATTATGCATTAGAAAAATGCCACAACTATCCGTTTCATGACATTAAACATATAAAGATGTCAGTTTTATTACATAATTTCCTATGAAAAATGCCACAACTATCAATATGCAAATACATTTATTTTTATCTAAAATTTATATATTTGTATAGCTGAAAATGTCATTTTTTATATGAAAATGTCATGGTTATGTCACAACTCGGTTCTTGGTTCTCTGCTTTCTTTTTAAATTTGAATCTCAAGTGCCTTGACTAATGATTCTCAAGAAAATATCACGTTTTGAATCCAAGAATGTCATAATTATTGGTTATTTTTAAAAAATGTCACTTTTGTGTCATTACAGTTTTTGGAAATGTCATATTGAGAATGTTATATTTATATACGAAATTGTCATTATTGTGTCATTATGCATATTAAGTGGCATTCTCGCATATCAAGTGGCATTCCTCATGGAGGTCTACACAAACTCACTGGAGCGCAGATCCTTGTCGGAGAATGATGAAAGCGTACTCACTGATCGAGGGGCAGTGGTGGTGGCGGTGGTGGCAGACTTGATGGAGGGTGGCAGAGGCATCATTAGAGGCGTCGACTCTTGGAGGCTTGGAAGCGCACACCTGCGCGGAACTCTCACAGACCCCTGCGATCTTTTAATTTTTCATTAAGGGTAGTTTGTGAGATTAGCTCTTTTTGGTCCTATTTTTGTCCAATAAAACATAGTGGTCATATTTTTGCAATTCTACCTTCTTTTGGTCCTATTCAGGGAATTTTCTCTCTTTTAAAAGTTATTTAACAAGTTATCAATTGATTGCAAATAACCAACAGAATCTGATGTCATCAATCACCAATCAGGTAACGGCCAACGGTCAACAACCACTTTCCAAACACCTCCTTGTTATTTTATTATTTGAATGGGAATAAAGAAGTCATATTATGAGAAGAAAATATATATAGCTAGTAGTTAGTACTATTTTAAAATTGTGACTATGTTTTAGTTCTTTGTGAGTAATTTCTTACTCCATATTTAAGTTTAGGAAGAACTATCAAAGAAGCCCTTGAACTTTTATAAAAAGTGCAAATGAGCCCTTTCATAGGAGGCTCTGTCCGGCCGTCGTCATTTCGGGCGGTTTCCGGTGGAATTTTTTGATGAATTTTTTTGTATCTACTTCATTAAGTCTAGTTTATTCTTACCAAATTTCATCTAAAAATTCAATCGGGAAGACGGTCAAATGAATTTTTGAGGATAACTGCGCAGTTAGACAGCGCAATATATTTCAGAAAATCATTTAACTATCTTCTAGATTGAATTTGTAGCTGAAATTTAGTATGGGTAAACTAGACTTAATGAAGAAGATGCTCAAAAAATGTCATCAAAAAATTCACCGGAAACCGCCCCAAATGGCGACAGCCGTACAAAGCCTCCTGTAAAAGGACTTATTTGCACTTTTTATGAAAGTTCGAGAGCTTATTTGATACTTCTCCCTTAAATTTATTATTATGTGCCCCTAATCATCTTCGGCTTATGATACGTTGGGTTGTTGTAGGCGTGTGTTGCGTATGTTTTCTTATGGAGATAAAAGAAAAATGCTAGAGAATGCATTTTCTCGGAATTAATTAATTTCTCTGACTCTTTTTCCCTCCTAATTATATCCTAATCATCCGGAGGGAGATCTGTATGTTTTCAGAAACTATCCCTCTTTCCTTCTCTATCAATACGGCAATCCGCCCATCAACCATTTCATAGAAGTTATTTTCATATATATAGTTTATTTTTATATCAAGAAGTAAGAAATAATGGCTTATAGGGGAGATGAAGATTATGATTATCTGTTCAAGGTGGTGCTAATAGGCGATTCCGGTGTCGGAAAGTCCAACTTGCTCTCGCGTTTCACCCGTAATGAGTTCAGCCAAGAGTGTAAATCAACCATCGGGGTTGAGTTCGCTACCCGCACCATCCAAGTCGAGGATGACAAGATTGTGAAGGCTCAAATTTGGGACACGGCTGGACAAGAAAGGTATGAATACATTTAATTGATCATCTTATCAAATGCATGATGAGCAAATAAACTTGATGCACATTTGCATGCATGCATGAAATGATGCAAATACATATCTGAGAATCTTTTCTAAAATATATATGTCAAAAATCTAAATCAAACCAGTCCTCTACAATTTGGTAGCTGATATCCCTGACAAATCCCTGGTAAAGTTAGTAGGGAATATAAAATCCCTAACTGCTTTGTCAGGGCGCTGAAGCCAGGGATAAAATCCTTGATAAAATCCATTACAAAAGTGTTTGTCAGGGGATTCTTAAACTGACATCCCATACAAAATCCTTTATTATTTCAATGTTTTTTTGTAGTGTAGAATTCCTTGCGTCGGTGCATTTTTTCCTGGATCTCAATCCTCTAACTTCTCTAAACTCACATTGTACCTTATAAGTGGATTGCACCTAATGGATCATAAATTATTTCATTCCAAATTCGTTTCCATTTATAATGTATCTCAATACTCAAAGTTATTTTTATAAAATCTAAAATGCTAATGTGATGATTTTAAGCACCAAAATTACTTTTTCGGCAACACACACCGGTTTCACACACCATCTGTATTTTAGTTTCAAAACATAATAACCACCGGAATTACTAATTTGTGAGAGTATAATTAAAGATGGATCAATTTATTTGACGTTGACATGATAAATTAATATGTTAATTACAATTTTAAGAATAACAAATGCAGTTTTTAAAATGCCAAATGTTTAGTTTTCATGATCATTTCCAAGGTTTAAATAGGCCTTTTTAGAATTTTTGATTTTATAAATATCTTCAGGGTAAGATTAAAAAATAAATAACATTTTGAGTCGAAATCTACGGGTTGTTCGAATTTATGATGGTTAGAACTTAGAAGAGATGTGTTAATTGGGTGCATTGTATTTAATTTACTTCAATAGAAGAAAGTCCCATGTAAAAATAAAATATAAACATTAAGTCTACCAAATGAAAAGTATGATGTCAAACAAGCACCAGATAGACTTTCCCGTACATTAAATATGTTATTCAGCACTACAAGACTTCATTTTTTTAGTAATTTTTATTTTCATTTTAGGTTGCTAAAAAAACTGTTTTTTCCATCCCTCCATGTTAACATTGACCATAAACCACTTAGTCCATGGCATTTGTAATTGTGATATCTATGTTTCTATACTTCTAAGAGGAGGAACGTCAAAGTGATATCTTGGTAGTCTAAGTTGGAAGAATGAATTGGTAGTCTAATACATCGGAAATTTGTAATTGTGATTTTGTGATATCTATATGTTTCAGATACCGTGCAATCACAAGTGCTTATTATCGAGGAGCGGTAGGGGCTTTGCTTGTGTACGACATAACTCGTCAAATAACCTTTGAGAATGTGGAACGATGGTTGAGGGAGCTGCGGGATCACACCGACCAAAACATTGTGATAATGCTAGTAGGAAACAAGGCAGATCTCGGCCACCTGCGAGCCGTCCCCACGGCAAGTTCAATGGCGTTTGCGGAAAGGGAAAACACCTTCTTCATAGAGACTTCGGCTCTTGAGGCACTCAACGTCGAAAATGCCTTCACCGAAGTGCTGACTCAGATCTATCGGGTAGTCAGCCGGAAGGCCCTTGATATTGGTGATGATCCAGCTGCTGTGCCCCGTGGAAGGGCGATAAACATTGGGGACAAGGAAAATTCAAATGGCAATGGAGGGTGCTGTTCTGCATAAGAGGAAGAAAGAAAACCAACTAGAATCTGATCAGTGCTGCTAACGTTAGCTGTATTTTTTCTGACATGTATAGTTGATTGAGGATCCTATATACAGAAACTGCATGTCAAGTAAAAGGAATTTGCAGCAGCCAATCACTTATCTCATGTATGAATTTTGTCTGGTCTGAATATAATAAATTGTCCAACAGCATTTTGCAATTCTCATGTTGATTATGCATGTAAGCAAGAACACACTAATACCTTGCTATTTATTTAATTCATAACAGAAAAGCAAAAAAACACAGGTGTATATTAATATACAGATATTATTGGATTCACATTTGATATGATGGATTACATGTTTAACCCTAAACCAGCACCATTCTTTCTTTAGTGATCTGAGGCGCCTAGCTTGAGGCTTGAGACTTGAAAGTGTATAGCTGATCCAAGCTCATATCCCCACCCTAGTATCACCAACAAGCATTTCCCCCACTCTGGGCGCTACAAAACTGCAAGAATCAGTCTTTAAGTAAAAAAATGTAAAAATAAAAAATCAGTTTTTAAGTGGCACTAGATAGAGAAGATGCTAAAAAATAAAACAAGTATTTCATTTCACCAGGACATGACATAATGAGCTATTTGCATTCCCAGGTAAAAAACTGAATAAATTAGAAAGCAAACTAAAAACATTTTCTTGCGAGGATTACTGGGGTTATTATGATTAGTGAATAAAAGATAACGAGATTTTGCAGTTTTGAAATGGCCTACATACATAACAGCTGAATGGGGTGTATATCATGTGTTAATGCAAATTAAACTTAGATACAAAAAGGGCTAAATCGGGCTTAGGTTAACCACTAGCATGTCTAGTAGGTGTACTTAGAAGTTGAGAAGGAAAAGTAAGGCCTTAGTTCAAGGGCTGAGAATGGGTTGTTTCATGTGTAGTCCATGTCTGATTGATTATTTGATATGGCATGTTATACTACCAATACATCAAGGAGCAGAACGTTTTTTGGAACTTCAGAAACAACTAACCCCCTTCTTGATGTCAAAAAAATCAATAATTGGGAGCACTTCAAAGTTCACAAAATCAAAGATCAACACATATGGTGATTACGAATTGCCAAAGAAATACAGGCATTGGAAGATATACTTAGAAATGCAAATGTTTTTTACCCGGGGGCTGAGGGAGTCTGGGGTAAACAGGGCTAAAACTACCTGGAGTTTCGAACCCGATACCTCCCTTGAGCTGGACAGCTTCCTCAAGAAATGCCAAATATATTACAAAATATATAGAGTGTATACATGTGTATATATACATTTTTTTTATATACATGTATATTTCAAGCACTTCTGACCAGATCATTTATGTTATGCATGTACATGTATAAATATTATGCTCCACTTTCCCTGTTTCTTTGGTATTTTGTTACTCATATAAATATTTCCATTTGAAGTACTCCGTATTATTATTTTGATTTTGTGTATCAAATTCATCATATTTGAATTCTATTTTTGGAGTTGAATGGATTGTCCAGTTTAAATTCTGAATTTTCCTATTAATCAATACTAATTGAAATATAATTAGGAAATAGTTTAACTCAATCAAACTCTCTAACCTGAAAAGAGACAAACAAATTGGGATAGAGGTAACATATAAAGGAAAAATTGGATAGCTAAATACTCACCCGAAATCGAATTCACCATTTATCAGTTTGTTTCGGGCTTGGAGTCTTCAGGTTTGCGACCTGAATCGAAGGAGGGCAAGGGATTGCCGCCTTTGACGATCCAGCCAAGGGCAAAAAAGGAGGCACCCGCGAGTATGGCAGCGCCCCATGCGTAAGAAGACCACTTACTGTATTGCCTGATAGCAAACCTCCATTGCTCTCTGAGAGTGGAAGGATCCGGGTTCACCGGGTCGGGTGGGTTCGGAAACGAAGTACCACCAGCGTACCCGCCTCCATTAGAGCTCCGGATTGGTGCTCTGGGGTGAGAAGGGTCGGCTGAAGGTGTGGGACGAAGATCGTGTGTCGACTTAGGTTTCTGAGAGTTGGCTTCGGACATGGCGGTGCCAATAACAAGAAATGATGGCTGAATATTTACGAGTAAAGATGAAAATAAAATCAGAGAGCTGCGGTTGATATTCCCACTTCCGAATATGGATGACTTGATACTTCGTCATGTTCGGTTGCTAGATTGTGCTTTATTCCTCTAGAGCTGAAAAGGGAGAAGAAACAAAATTAGTTGACAGATGTCCTGCTTATATTACTTTTATTATATGATCCGGATATTCTAGTTGGTTTCATAAAATTTGGACAAATTTCTTTTTTAATCATCCCAAAAAAATTTATCATTACATTTAATAAAGTAATGAATATGTAGTTAAAGCAATTTTTCTCTTCTGCACAAAATTCAATTATGCAATTTTTTACTTTTTTGAGCAAGTCATACTTGATCATGTTTTATTGGATGGAGGAAATATATTTTAATGAAATATGACGTATTTATTTAAAATAAATTGCATATATCGATGTATTATCCTCTGTTTTTTCTAATCGCAACATGTTGAATTTTACGATATTCAAATGTTCTATTTTGACTAAATTTTACACTGCTATTTTAAAAAAAATATTTAAAAAAATATTGTTCAATTCATTTCATTACAAATTTTCAAAATCTGATTTTCAAAATTTTTTTACTAATAGAGATAAGAGAATAAGATATATTTACAGTCAAAAAAGTGTGTTGTCAAATGTGAAATGTTGACATTTACGATTATTAGAAATCAAAAACTTGACAAATCCCAATCCTTCAAACTCCCCACTTCCTAGTCTCATAATAATCATAATGTTCTCTCACTATGTGATCAGATAAAAAAATTCATCCTAAATTTAACAATACTTTTACTGAGCATACGAGTGTTTTGAAGTAGGAAATGAGATCAAAACCCTTGACACTTCCTCCCAAATCACCAAAACCAAACACACACCGGTGGACGTAGCTCAACTGGTATCGGGAGAGTGTCACAAGGGTTAGGTCCCGGGTTCAAATCCCTACAACTGCGATGAGAGGTTACTATGCTAAAATGCACAGGGCTTCTGTAAATATCGGGGACACAGTCACACTCTCTATCTGTCAGATTGGGATTATAGTCCAATTTACATCCTCTCAACGTATCGTCCGGTCGGGGTTGGGGCCTCAGGGATTAGGTGTCATCCTTTTTTCCAAAACCAAACACACACTTAATCTCGAATCACACACCCCACTTTTAAAATAAATAACAAAAACAAAGTGTAAGAAAAGAAAATTTAAAATCAAGTATAAATAAATAACGAACAGGTCTCTTGGATCCGCCTCAACTCTCCCTGCTCCATACTCCATAGCAGCCAAGTCTTGAATTAAGCGAGCCACTACCAGCAAACTCGCTTCCTTCCCATTTTTTCAAGTATGATACTCCACCTCCATCCACGCATTAGTTTCCTCGTCTTCACCTCTTCAGTTTGTTTAAACTAGAATTCCACCCGTGTGATGCACGCAATAAAAGAAAATAAAAATTATGATTCTCATTTTGAGAGGATAATATATATACTTTGTTAGGGTAGGTGTTTAAAAGTAATGAGCTAAAGATCAGATAAATAATTTAAACAAATAGTAAACAGAGTAAATGTTATGCCAACATATTATTTCTGATATAAAGTAAAAAAACAAAATAAATGTCATGGGAGATCTTTAGAACATCTAGTGAAAGGGTGATGTCCTCCACGTTCATTAATTTTATAAGTTTCTACACTTAAAAAAAGTTAGAAAATGTTGATAGAGTAGCAGCGCTATTTACTTTGTTGAAGTGTATTGTGTCTACTCTTGAGGTGGATTTCTTTCCAAAAACGGAAATGTGATACATATTTTGATATAACCAAAAAAAGAATATGTGGCACACATTATGATACACTGGGAGTGTGGGAGTACATAGTATGCTCTAGTCTCCAAGAGCCTGACCAGATATATGATGAGATGGATCCTTTTTTAAAACAAATACTATTCTACTTTGTATGAAATTTTACACGACTTTTCGCACTAATAATAATGAATTCTTAAAAATTTACCGTGGTTGTTCACCAAACCCACATCAACGAACCCTCGTCAGCCAAATTCACCAGTCCAAAAGGTGGAATCTCCCACCCCCAGGAGCCCCCACCCCGACCCGACATGATGGTGGGGGAGTTAATCACGGTGACTCAGTCAGCAAAGCGGAGGTATGCCTTATACACGTGCGCACGAGAGGTCCAGCCTTATTTCAGGTTTTGTAACCTCCACACGGCCGCTGCGGATTTCGAACCTTGGTCTTTTGGTCCAATTTTCCCACCACTCGACCAACTGAGCTACCCGTGTGGGTGTCAGCCAAATTCACCAATATGATAGGTGATGTCCAAAAATCGATCAAGAAGCCATGACGACTGACAGGAGCCAGGAGGGCCCTTGTCGGCCGACCACCGTGACCAGCGGCGTCGGAAAGGAGAAGAGAGAGCGACCTAGGAGGAGTTTTATATAATATACTATCCTCTGTTCTGTTCTTTAATTCTTGCAACGGTTTGACTTTCACGTTTGCCAACGCACAACTTTGACTGTAATTATATTTAATTATGTATTACTAAACATCATAAAAGGTTGATATTTTGGAAATTCACATTGATAGGAATTCAATACTACATCTGTCCCATAAAATAAGTCTCACTTCAATTTGGATCGGAGTTTAAGAAAGTGAGAATAAAGTGGAAATGTATGATTGTGGTTGAGTAAGAAAAAGGTAAATGAATGTTAGCCACACAAAATTTTCCAAAAAGGGAAATGGAAACAATTTTTTGGGACGGCCCAAAAAGGAAAGTGAGACTTATTTTATGGGACGGAGTGAGTAACATTTTATACGTAATAATTTGATTATGTATATTAGTAGAAAATCATGATTAAAGTAAAGTCTGTGAACAGTACAAAAATCACAATGTTGCAAGAATTAAAAAACAAAAAGTACTTATATGTATGTAGTATTTACTACTACTATAAATTAAAACTATATACTCTGCGCATAGGACCAGTTAGTTAGAAATTTGGTTTGTTACAAATTATGAAATCCGTGCATCTTTTAGTGAAATGTGTATTTGTATATGTCAAGAATAAAGTATAAATTATGGTGTTCTCTTCTAATATTCCTTTGTATTACAATCAGTGATTTTCTTAAACGTATATTAAGGCCTACTCATAAACCTGGGTAAATAAAAGTATACTCCACAAAGGTGTGATTAATAGGTTTGTTTGATTAATAGGCCTACTCATTATCTTCATTTTTGTTTTTGACTTGATTAATTAAAAGTTACAGTCCTGTAATTTTTTTAACCAACAACTCCTGGCATCATATTTTTAAAAAACATATCATCAAGCAGCCCCTTTCTGGTATACGCCAGATAATCGTCTCCCTAACTGATGTCGCTGCACCGCATCAGCTTCATTGATGACCGGATTACTCTATGGGTCTATGGATTTACCTTATGGCCGCCACAAAAGTTCCTATATCAACCCTAACTACTATGCATGCCTAGTCCGAGATACCTGCATGAGAGAACAGCATAAACATTAATTAAAAACAATAACAATAAGTACAATTTTTATCCAAAAAAAAAATAACAATAAGTACAATTATTACTCCATATAAACTTAATTCATTGAATGCTTATAATACATCTTCATTTCTGACATTAATCCCTTTGCTATTCATCTGTCTGTTCAGCTCTTTCATGTATTAGTAATATAATGTCCTTATGGCTTTATGTTTGTACGATTTAAATCGCTTGAACATAATGCCTGCAAAAACACTATTTCTAAAAGAGAAATTATTATGAAATCAATGACTCCACAAACTCAAGTACCAAAAGTAAAATAATTTTATGCTGCCCCAAAATTGATACTCCATACTTTTTACTAACAGAAAAGGATACCCTAAGCAATGCTCTATAAGACCGTGTATCTTTTCCTTGGAAATTCTGCCAAAATATATACCTAAAGAACACACACACGACAACAAACAATACAAATATTCTACAATCGGAAGCAAGAGCTTCCATAACTTAGACAACAGTTAATCAAAACAATGACCACAAAGGCACAAACAGCTTTCAAAAGCAGAAGACAGAGAATCTGAAACAAACAAAGTAGAACAAATCTGATTGTGTGAATCCTGTTTTAACAAAAATCAACAAAAATGTTGATCGTCTTCCTAAGTGGTTTAATTTCAAAGCCCTACTCCATTTCATCCCCATCTTTATTAGCAGAAAACTCATGCACCGAGTTAATCTGCGTTGGGTCATCGAGATTTTTAACAATACTTTCACTGAGAGCATACGAGTGTTTCGAAGTAGGAAATGAGATCAAAACCCTTGACACTTCCTCCCAAATCACCAAAACCAAACACACACCGGTGAGCGTAGCTCAACCGGTAGCGGGAGAGTGCCACAAGGGTTAGGTCCCGGGTTCGAATCCCGGCAACTGCGATGAGAGGTTACTATGCTAAAATGCATAGAGTTTCTGTAAATATCAGGGACAGAGTCACACTCTCTATCTGTCAGATTGGGATTATAGTCCAATTTACATCCTCTCAACGTATCGTCCGGTCGGGGTTGGGACCTCAGGGATGAGGTGTCATCCTTTTTTTTTTACCAAAACCAAACACACGCTTCATCTCGATCCACACACCCCACTTTTAAAATAAATAACAAAAACAAAGTGAAAGAAAAGAAAATTAAAAATCAAGTGTAAATAAATAACGAACAGGTCTCTTGGATCCGCCTCCACTCTCCGTGCTCCATACTCCATAGCAGCCAAGTCTTGAATTAAGCGAGCCACTACCAGCAAACTCGCTTCCTTCCCATTTTTTCAAGTATGATACTCCACCTCCATCCACGCATTAGTTTCCTCATCTTCACCTCTTCAGTTTGTTTAAATAATTACATCGCTTGGTTGGATTATTTAATGTAAATTGTAATGACATGCTTTTTACTTTGTATAAAGCAATGCAGTGATTTTGCATTCAACTTAAAAATAAATTACACATTTAATCAAACAATGTTAAATATTTTACATGTAAAGTGATTAATTTCATAAACTTGCATGCAATCATTTCACTGTGTAATGATATAACAAAAGTGCAAATTAAAACAAATCATCTTTTTCTTTTCTATGCATATTATTTATTACGATTAGAACGATTCTAAAAACCAATACAGGTATCGAGAAAATCTTAACCATTAATCTGAAGTGTTTTTTTTTTAAATTCCATTTGCCGATTTAAACAATATAACCTCGAAATAAACAATACAGAGTTAGAGACTATACTGCGTAAATCATACGGAGTAGGACTTTTGTAACTGTCAACTTTATTATTTTTTATACATTTTCATTTCCTTCAACAACATATTTTACACTTGCTTTGCTCTCACCTCCCGGTAAGGAAGTTGTATGCTAACAAAGTCGGGTACCATATCCAAGCAGCAATCTTATTTGAATATCATTTTCATTAATCATAAGACCATGTCCATATTCCTAATATGCTCGAAGTTCAAGAACCATAATCCATTAACAAGATTCAATATTACGGAGTAATTAGCAAAAATCATCACTATAAGATGATTAGAGCGTTTTGGCTGGTGGAGCATTTCTAAAGGCTCTGTACATTTTTATAGCAATAGGAGTTAGCAATTCTCAGACATTAAACCACAACTTCTCCAGTGGAGAGCGATGTGAGACTTCCAGAGTGGGAGCACCAAAATATGTGACTCCAAACTAAAATAAATAAGGAAAGAGAAAAGGCCTATGTTATATAGTAGCCACCCAAATTATTATCAGTGGCATAAATCCCCTCAGAATTAGGAGCAGATTGCTTTGGTGGAGGACTATATCCAGAACTACCCTTTGCTTTACTGCCCTCCACAGTACGTTGTTTGGTGTCAGAAGGGAATTCAGCATTAAGTCTCCCCATTTGCTTCTGCAGATCAGCAACGGATGGATTGTTCACTTTCCCTTTGGGGCTTTTCTTTCCATCCACCAGCTTCAGTTCCAATCTGTATAAAGCACAGGTGTCATAGTTGTTGATCTCGTATTCATATAGATGCCACTCCAAGTTTTGCATTGGTTGTGGGTCCATGTAATATGACCTTTTTAGCCCTCCAAACTCATTCATCACCTGCTTCCTTGACTCGTGCCACCCACGTCCATTATAATCAGGTAATGACCTTTGCTTTCTGTTACCACTCTCGAACGCTCGTCGGGGCTTGTCAAAGAAAAGCCACTCCCTTATTGTTTCACCTTCAACAATTTTGAGATCGAAAAGTTCTGCAAATCCAAAACATGACTGCTTGTAAGGTTCTACTTAAGGGCCCTTTTAAAACCCTGAAAATGGTAGGGGAAGATAATGTGGAGAATAGACCAAAATCATTGGGGGGGGAACTTTAAAAAAAGTGCCCAACTAAATATCAATTTTAGATATTTACACACTCATTTTACTCAGAGTGAAGACCTGCTTCAGTTATTCAACTATCTCTTGGTCTCAATTTGGTCATCATCTAGTCAACTATGCAAATTAGGCTGAATTTAGACTTCATGCACGTGTTGCTCTAATTAAGAAGGGTATGTATTTATGAACACTAAGGACTACATTTAGTTCATATTTAATCATTGAGGATTCAATTGAGTCCCAATAAGGATTTTTTTATTTGGACTGTTTTCAGTCCCAGACCAGCAGAGACGAGCAGCCCAGACCAGACTAAACTTACATAGTTATAAAATACACAAGACCAGACAATTACCAAGCCAGAAAATTTCAATACAATTACAAACATCCCAAGTTGGGTCTAAATTTTGTGGAAAGATAAAAACACCATTCATAATTAAAACCAAATGTGAATGAGGACTAAATTGAGTCCAAAAGATTATCGAAGACCAATTGAGTAATAGTCAATAGTTGAAGGACTAAATCTAGTATTAACTCTTTATTTTTAGTCTATTACAGAAAGACTAATACATATAAATATATGTGTAAAACTTTAATGCGAATTTAATTTGTATTTTCTAAGGTAAACCTGAACATAAAAAATCCATTGCCTCTCGGTATATCTCTTTCATTTCCCTACTATTATTTGTATTCCAAACATAGCTTTACAAAATCAAAAAGAATTGGGTGATCATTACTAACCAGGAGCATTCCATGGAGACTTTGAGGTTGCTGCACCCTCACACTCGGGAATACCAACATCCTTTCCAAGTGCTTTTGCACTGAGAGCTTGGAAAAACAAATTGTCCTTTAACCCAATGCCCATTGGTCTAACAACTGGGGGATGCCCAAGGAAGCCTTCATTAGGAGCAAGTGAAGCATGGTAATCACTGCAGTAGTCTTGAGACTTCTGGCACCAATCTGACACCATTGCAGGTCTTGGGCAATCCCAAAGTGCACATTTGGGGCCCAAGAATGCAGAAGGTGGAGGACTAATGTGAATTGCTGGCAAAATGTCCTCAAGGCAAAGATTTACACCGTCAATCCCGGGGAAATACTGCTCCAAATCTGGATGGAATTCATATTGTAGGTGACCCAACTGTTTGGGGACCATATCACTGCCACCCACATTGCAAACCCCAAAAGGACCAGTTTTGCACTGGTCAACCAACTGAATGTTGTGTTCCTGAGTCAGCTGAGCTACGTTGAGACCCTACGTGGACACATGCATACAAGAACCCTTGTATAAATGTTCTATAAAAAACAAAGAACAGCAGAATAGGAATTGCAAGAAGTACACTGTGTGCTAACCCTCATGTGCTGAATATGCATAGGAAAACCTAATACAACAAATTAGCAGCCCTTCAGCAGCCACTTTTTTAGCGGATTAATGAATTCAGAAATTTCAATAATATCAGCCATAATTTAAGCAATTTCAACCAAATTTACCCTTATCAAACAGGCTCAAGAAGACTAACCTCACCCCTCACCCACACAGCAAAAATCAGACATTAAAACTCCTCACAGCTCGAACGCATCATAGTTAAAGAAAAAGACACATTCTCTATGCATAATCATACAAGCAGTTTTTGTTTAGGAAGAATGTCCCGGTTAGGCTGCAGACAAAAAAAATATAATCAGAGATATTTACCTCTGGATAAGCAGCAGCATGACAAACTTTGTGTGCATCAGGATCAGATTTTGGGGCCACTAATGCACTGGTGGCATCATCTTCCTCCTCACCAAGCTGCACTAGCCTTAAAAGGTCTGATGTGTTAAATCCTAAACTCCCTTCCTGCAAAAGCCATGTAGAGATGACAAGTAAAAATCCCAAATCTTTATATTTAAACAAAAGATAACAAGCCTAGAGGCACAATATTTATACTCATTAATAAACAAAACTTTGCATGTTACCTGCAAAGAAGAAGCAGGAGAAGGCTCATTGAGCTCGGCCTTCCACTCGCGAAGAATCTGGTTAAGCTGTTCCTCGAGCACTGACACTTCAGAAGTACGGCTCTCTTTCCTCAAGGATTGCAGATCAGTGAACATCCCTTGCAGATCATCCACCCGGTTCTTAGCCCTGTCCTTGAATAGCTGATAAGATGCAGACTTGCCCACACAGCTCTTCGAGCCCTTTCCCATCCCAGATATTGAAGCCTGTGCTTCAGTCTTCACCTGTTCTTAAACCTGTCCTTAATATTGCGAGCATTAAGAACATTAAAAGAAGGGCTTCACTTTTGTGATCATATACAATATTTGAATTCCGACAGAAAATGAAATAAGGAATTGATTAGTAATTAAAAGCGACTTTTACATATACTCTGTATAACAGGCGTACAGTACCTGTCTTGTGAAAGCCCAAGGGGAACTTCCGAATCAAATTAGAAAACCCTAGTTTCAGATCAAACTGCAATTCCAAATCATACACAAATTATAACAGAACATGAAGCAAATATATAAGACAAAAATATAAATCGAAAATAAAACATATGCATGAAAACAAGTTAACACGAAATTCTCTTGAATTCGCGACGCAGTATTAAAAGCAAACGAAACCCGCAGCTGGGGTTCCCTTATCGTTGTACCTGGTAAGAAATAGTTCTGGACGTCGGAGGTGGAAGAGATGGGAAATTTATGTCATCTGATTTCAACTCTCTCTCACTGTGTTGAAGATTGGAGACTTTTTTTCCTTCTTTCCAGGGATGAGGGCCGATTGTGTGCGCGGCAAAAGCATGAAGAACCGCCGGGCTGGGCTGCAGGAGATGTCAAGGTATTGTACCCGCGGAAAGATGGTCCCGACCCTATCCGAACAGACCTAACCAATTAATAATTGGATAATTACTCCCTATGATTATGGATGTTTTTACTTGGACTGTAATTTGTTGGTCTGGTCTGGTCTGAACTGGTCTGGTCTGGTCTGAACTGGTCTGGTCTGGTCTGGTTTCTTTGTGTTTTTATAACTATCCAAGTCTGGTCTGGTCTGGTCTGGTCTGGTCTACTCTGGAGGGTCTGGGACAAATTACAGTCCAAGTAAAAACATCCTATATGAGGCATGGTTTGAAAACAATTACGGAATTACCTAGTATAAGAAAAGATTTTCAGCTTTTGGTTTAAAAAATTGAAATGAGTTTTTTTTTCAAGTGACAGTTTCGGTTTAAATTAAATATTTAAGAGCTAAAACCTGGAAGCAGGTGAAAAGGTGTTTTAAATTGCTTTTCATCTTTTCTATTACATAAAAAACACTTATTTTATCAAACACAGCCAACTTAACTATTTTAGAAGCAATTTTTCTCAAACACTACCAGTTTTTACTATTAAACACTTTCTCCAAAATCGCTTTAAAATTACTTTTTTAAAGTAGAACAACCACAAACACTCACTAAGAGAGAGGGAAGAGTTGGAAATGTCGTGGAAAGAAGAGGATGCGGATAACTTCAAGAAACACTCTTGCAAGATTAATATCATGTTTATGGTGATTCTAAATGCATCAAAGGAAGTAGATTATAAATATAAATATGAAAGCTTTGAGGTAAAGAATGAGATTTTTATAAGTTTATATTATGTGGGTTATGCACAACATTACCCAAGAATTTTTTTTAAATGTCTATAAAGGTGTAACAAGTCGTTGAAATTCAAGCAGCGGAAAAGTATGTGTTGTATCGTTCATACATGTGTAGTGTAGTTGCCAAAAAATCCTTAAATGATATATGTATGGAGGATGTGTACATAGTTCATATGAATGCCATGTGTAAGAGTGTGTGTCCCTAAATGGACTTCTAAGTGTTACACTACACTCTTTAATGGGCTGAATCACTCATATGAGGGGTCATACATTTGATATGACTCTGATCAATGAAGGATTCGTAATACTATTGTCATCTGTTTTATAAGTTCTGAGCAAAGGCATGGATTTTGTCAATGTTATTTATGAATTTTGGAGTATAAGGCACCTTAAATTGACAAAACTACACCTTCAATTGATCATACCTTAAATTGATCACACCCAATTCATCGAATCATAGATTAAGGGAGTGTCCTCATTTCAGATTTTAAAGGATTACTAAAGTTTCATGGCATTCCACCGTCCTTAATATGGAATTCAATAGAGTCCTAAATTCGTTGTCCTCAAAGTTTCCATGGATATTTTACGCTTGAATTTATTGGAATTTTAATGATTTTTAAGAATAATATGTAAAGAAAATAATTCAATGTAAAATTCTAGCCCTACCCCAAGATTTCAATGGAATCTTTACTCATCCTATTATTCAACCTTGCTGTAATGCATTTATTCTTTCACGCGATTCGAGGTATTTAATTTTGGCTTGTTCAACAACTCCTGCTTTGCTATTATCTTACACACAAACTATTTCCCAGTTTGCTTAAGTGTGTAAGTATGTCCCAGAAATGATTAATCATGTTATAAAGCACTATAGCAAATTGAATCAAATAATCCCATTGATATCTTTGAAGCTTTATACATATGAGGTGCTACACTTGTCAGTTATTCATTATATCTGTTAAGCTTGTTATGAGATACAGGATGAAGGAAAAAACATTTTTTCTCAAAGCACCAATTTTACTTGTTAAGCTTGACTGCAAGACCGACCCCATCAAATGACAAGTCGGTCTTCTTTTTTTTGAGCAGTTTCCGAGCACTTCTCAAAGATTTATTGTTAAGCTCTTTTTTATGTCGATCTTGTCTAATGCAACACTATTTGATCAAATGACAAAGACTTTGTTGAGAAAAAGATGGCTTTTCTCAGATGAAATGAAAATTTGATTCATGTAATAGGAGTTTAACAAAGAAAGATCGTGGGATCGCGATCCGCTGCCTAATTGATTAATTGCTTAAAAGAACTTGTTGAATTGGTTAAGCTTGACTACAGGAATCTGAAAATCTGAATTAGAATTCAGAAAACTTTTTTATGACAAAATTTGAAAATTGGATTAAGCTTGACTACATGAATCTTTTTTTTTTTTTTTGAAAAAATCTTTTTTAAGATACACTTAAATTTCTAGAGAGAAGATGTTTAAGTAATTGTCTCCTTCAAAATTTGATGAAAATATTTCTTTTAAATTTTAACTAAACCCTGGAAGAAAAAATACAAATGCATTTTGGCTTTGGTGATGGGGTAGGTGACAATGTTACCTACACTGTTACGGACCTTACGACTTAACTCGAAAGGGATATGATCGATCTTGGTAGCAGCTTAGATAACGACATTGTGTTTGTCACTACATGTAGAGGCTTGAAACATATATAGATGCAATATTTGCTTAGGTAATTATGTTTACCTCTGTCATTACCTGCAAGGGATGAAACAAACACACAATAACGATCTTGGTAATGATGTTTGCCTTTGCCGTTACCCGCAAGGGATGAAACAAACACACAATAACGATCTTGGTAGTGATGTTACCTAAGTTGCTACCTACAGAAATGAAAATCATGTCTTAAGTAACAACACACAATTTTGGCCTTCCGCCTAGGAACAGCACCTTAGTCACATTTAAGTATTATTTTATATCCCACAAAGAGTTCTAAGGTATCTTTGCATTTCCTTAACCACCAAAGGGTTTCGGCTCCAAGGATAGGCAATGATAGTCATGGTTGCGGATGGAACAATGAATAGCTTGAAATGTTTTATGAAAGATCATAGCATGAACATTATTTGAGTCCCAAAACTAGAGGATGCCCCCCGCAGATCCGATAAGATCCGCAACATCTATCTATGTGAGATGAACCGAAGAAGCCATGTTGATCATATCATTGGAGTTCGTAGTCTTTGTCTTATAGAGGCCAACCATATCCTTGGTGTGCCATATGGATGACGTGCTTGCCACTGCTCCACAATTTCATGATATGCACTTCATTATAAAACCTATACGGGGTGTGGAATGAGCTGAAGCTCTTTGGTTCTCATTAATTGGCATGTCACAATCTTCATCTTGTTTAGTCATGGGATCCATGTGGGAGTCTGAGCCATATTTCGTGACTGTATTTGTCGTACCACCTTCTTTAAGATTTCACTCCATATCCCCTGCTCGTGGGGTGAGGTTAGTCCAGTCAGGGTTTTTGAGTTTTCGCTAAATCCAGAAATTACCTATAAGATCTTGAGTTAAGAAAAATAGAACTGTTGGGAATATTTTATGGTGTTCAATCTAGTTAGTTATCTTTGTATTTGTGTAGTTATCAATTAAACGTGTAATACGGGCCACAAATGTGTATCAGCCCGTGGGCTTCCTTGTAACCCGTAAGTTAGCCAACTTCTCCTATAAAAGGAGGCTAACTTACAGGAACCCTAACTAATCGAATAGAGGCTTTAGAGGCGCAGAGGCGAGATAGAGAGATAGGGTTTGCCGCTGCTCTCCTTCTCCAGGGAGAGCAGCGGCCAGTTTACACGGTATACCAGATTCGTTTGATTTTCTCCATATCTTTCTATCTGCTTCGTCTTCACTGCTTATGTTTGTTGTTTGTTAAGTGTACTGGGTCTAACAAATGGTATCAGAGCCAAGGCGTGAAACAGGTTGAATGTATCTGCGATTTTCTTGGATCTAACGAAGAATGCTCTGCTTTTCTTCTCTTTTTCTTCATATAAAGTTTTGCTCCTGTAATCTTGTTTGTGAACGAAAATCTGTAAAAATTATACTGTTGGAATCGCCCTTCAAAGCCGATCCAGCAGCATAAACTCTTTTTCGATTTCTGCAAATTTTCATTTTTTGAAGAACTCTCAATGAATTGCGAGTTTATGCTTTTAACACTGCTGCGGAAACAATTTTGACTTGAAACAGATACAGGAGGGATCGCGACCTTCAGGGCTCTTCAGAACAGTTTTCAGATTCTCAAAATTCGACAGTTTTTAAAATCGAGAGTTTTAAACTCGCGGTCATGAACTCGAGTTTGTAAACTCGCGGTCATGAACTCGAGTTTGTAAACCCGCGGTCATGAACTCAGGTTTGTAAACCCGCGGTCATGAACTCGAGTTTGTAAACCCGCGGTCATGAACTCGAGTTTGTAAACCCGCGGTCATGAACTCGAGTTTGTAAACTCGCGGTCATGAACTCGAGTTTGTAAACTCGCGGTCATGAACTCGAGTTTGTAAACTCGCGGTCATGAACTCGAGTTTGTAAACTCGCGGTCATGAACTCGAGTTTGTAAACTCGCGGTCATGAACTCGAGTTTGTAAACTCGCGGTCATGAACTCGAGTTTTAAACCTCGAGTTCTGACCTCGAGTTTTTAAACCTCGAGTTCTGACCTCGAGTTTTTAAACCTCAAGTTTTTAAAATTTGAGAGTTTTGGAATTGCGAGTTTTGGAATTTATTTCGAGTTTTAGGAACTCGATGTTTTGGATTTCGACATTCTAAAAAATTTCAGAATTTTCGGAATTTCTCGATGTTTTGAATCTTTCAAAGTTTGCAGTTTCTTGGAACTCATAATTCGAATCTTGACATCCTTTGCAGTTCATCGAAGCTTTACATTTTAGATATCTGAATGATTCCCTGTTTATCAAAGTTTTAGAAGTTTTCGATGTTCTGATGTTTTTCAAACAGCAAGTTTTCGATATTATGAGGTTTTTCGAAACTCCAAAGTTTTCGAGGTTCCAAACATTTTGAAATTCTGAAAATTTCGTTATTCTGAGGTCTGTTTTGCAGGTGGATTTCGTCATTACTCTTCAAGGCAAACTCGAAATTAAAATCTCCAGATTTGGATTTCGAGTTTTTGCCTTAGAATTTTGTTTAAATTCACCTGCTCTCGAAATTCAACATCGAGAACCTCAACCTCGAAGATTTTCCTCA